AGCTGGAGACTCTTATCTCCCTCACTAACTTTAAGCATCAGTTGTCAGAGCACCTTACCGATCACTGCACCTGTACACAGCCCATCTGAAATTAGCCCACCCAACTACCTCATCCCCATATTATTTATTTTGCTCATTTGCACCCCAGTATCTCTATTTGCACATCATCTCTTGCACATCTATCATTCCAGTGTTAATACTAATTGTAATTATTTTGCACTATAGCCTATTTATTGCCTTACCTCCAACTTGCTACATTTGCACACACTGTATATATATCTTCTGTTGTATTGTTGACTTTGTTTTACCCCATATGTAACTCTGTGTTGTTGTTTTTATCGCACTGCTTTGCTTTATCTTGGCCAGGTCGCAGTTGTAAATGAGAACTTGTTCTCAACTGGCTTACCTGGTTAAATAAAGGTGAAATAAAATAAAAAAATAAAAAAGGTTGGTGGGCACTGCAGTAATGTCAAGTGTGGCTACAGCAGACTCATAAAGCAACTGTATACAGTACTGTTCACACAGTATATAGTATATCAGATATCAATATTTATTGCCTGATTCTTTTCATTGTCACATGCGATAATGAATTTTGACACTATCTGTCTATCTATCAAGGTTACACCCCATTACAACTGAAATGTATGGTGGCATTCAAAAATGGTTGGTAGAGGTAGACAATGGTACACGTCACAAATAATTTCTTAGTGGTATGAACGATATACTATATATTATATATTTTTTCTGGTCAGGTTACTTTTAGCATTTTTGAACCAGTCAATATAAGACACAATAGAATCTTGATCCCTTCAACAGGGCCGGCTCTAGTGGGGGTGCAGGGCAGGGCAGGGCAGGGAAGGGCAGGGCAGGGCAGGGCATTTCCCTCCCAAACATTCATGTTGCCCGCCCAAATGATTACGCTGAAGTCATATTAGCTCAGAAACAGCCAACAAATTTCTGCTGCCCACCCAGAATTATCATCCTAGAACTTGCCATGCACTTCCATAAGAAAGTTTTAATGAGACCGAACGAGTCAAGCACAGAATTAGACTGACACCAGGTAGGTTCTCATATTTAATCACACATACACTTACATCATGCAGTCAATCCAAAATGGTGATATCATTCAACCTTTAACATCCCCTCCACCTCCTCCAATGAGAGTGCTGCGATTGTCCCCCAGTTCTCTATGGGTCCGTCCCAAATGGCACCCTATTCCCCATGTAGTCAAAAGTAGTGCACTACATAGGGAATAGGGTGCCATTTGGGACGTAGCCTAGGAATGATCCAGTACCTTTTTCCATTGATGGAATCCTTATCTGTCAATTAGAAATGTAAGTAACTATTACACAGTAATAAAATAGTGGCTACGCTTTTCTTGAGAATCAATGCAAACAAATGAATTTGGTAAACATCATGGACAAATGGTAGTTGTTCTTTTTCTGTACTTTCCCATTTCATATCCATTAAATTGATGGAGTACAGTGGAACCCTGGCAGGTAAGGATAGGGTACTATGCACTTTGGAGACGATGTTGCAAAGCATTTACTGTTCTAAAGGTTACACAGAGGAAAACTTGATAGACTTATCCTGTCAAAGGAATAGGCTACCTACCTCTCCCAAAATAGCCTCTAATAACAGAAAATCATGGTTTACACCCCCATAAGTTACCACAAATTGGAGTATTTTCTAACCCAGTTTAAGGTTTAAACTTTACACTAAGCGCAGGAGTATATGGAGAAGAATTCTGAAGTGCTATCTGTCAATTTTATGTCAAATCCTTCCAAGACAACAAACGTTCATAACCTAAAACACCAACACCTTATCGTGGCTGCAGACTATTAAAAAGACTCAACCCTGGTCACACCTAACAATATTTCGTTGATATATAATAATTGTACTCACAAGATGTCAGTGTTTTTGTTTTATGCTGGGCTACAAATCACAGCAACATTTTAGCAAATGCTTCAGAGTTTACACAACATGACATAAAAACAAGGGTTGGAGAGACATTTTACTCACATAAGAAAAGATAATTGAAGGGGATTCGGGAAGAAAACAACAAAGGCAAAACAAGAAGTGTAAAATGTATAAAGTCCGTGGCTCCCGACTACAAAATTGATGAATATTAAACCACTTCCCAAGATGCACTGCTTTAGGATGGGCTGCATCTGAAATGGCACCGTATTCACTATGTCGTTTTGACCAGGGCCCATAGGGCTGTGCCATTTCGGACCTAGACTAGTTTACCAGCGGACTGAACCCGACCAATCTCCTTCCTAACCGAAGGCCCCCTGCTCATCTAACTGGCTGATCAGTGGCAAGGGCGAGCCAATCAAACACTGCCCTCCAACATTCCAACCAATACAGATCAGATATGCTTGTCAAGCTAGGGAACAGTGAGACAGATACACAACTACACCAATCCACAATAAGATTACATGTGCACTTCACCCGACTCAACCAAAAGAGGGTGATTTTGGAAAAGTCAGAGCCTGCCTTATATCGATTCCCAATATGAATTTAAACAGAGGCTCCCCTAGATGTATTTAATCCACTCGTCTTGACATTACTGGGGGTGGGGGGGACCGAAAGGAGCCCATTGACAAAAGTACTATAAACAGTTAATTTACAAATAACATTTTAAAAACAACCACCAGCCAATATCCTTGGTTTGTTTAGAGGAGGTCAGGACAAAGGTGGTGAGTGGATGAGAGGACCTAGCTAGCTAGAACAGGACAGGAGTGGGTGTGCCATCTGTGTTCCAATGTGCAGATAGATAAATAACATCCAAGCATAACACCGCATTTAAAACCGTCGAAGAAGTAAAAATATAGGGTGTCATTTGGGATGCAAGCCCTGAAAGCTCGCTCCTGATCAGACTCCTCTTTCCTTCTCACATCTGTTTAATGTAGTCACCACACCAGTATGTGTCACTTTATTAATAATAATAAAAACAATGGCCACCAAAGGTACTCTGTATTTAAATAAATCTAAATCGCACCTCTTGGCATTTCAAATCCAGAACACATCTTATGGAAGCATGTGCAGTGCCATATTACATATGTACAACAGGACAGTAGTGCTCAAAATGCCATCTATTCGGTTCAAACCTTTTAAGAAGCTTGTAAAATCTATTCATAGAAAGAGTGTGGTACAACCAGTAGAATAATAATGAAATGTACTGTACAAGAGATTAGCCTAAGAATGTTTGTGGTATCAAGGACCAACATATATATTTATTTTGTTTCAGTCGGCTTCTTTTTTTTTCTCATCTCTTTTGAAATCCCGGTTACCGTACATTCACATTGGCACAGTGCAGACTAAACCTTAAGACATCAAAGATGACAAACAAAACTACAAATTCAAGTCAAATGTAGTTCATTGCGCCATGACTGTACTCTGCAGTTGGTGGATGTCTTGTTCTGTGTTTTGTTTTGTATATTAAATTAATTTCGTCGTCGCTTTTTTCCAGAGAGAGGAAACATGAAGGTAGGTGGATCTGTACAGGCCAGGAATATTTATATATTTATATTAAAACTCCTCACTCTCTCTAATATATAGCCTGCAGGGAGCCAATGGCTGTAATGGAATGACAGGTTGCCAGGGTGATATCCATCTGCATCTTCTGTGGTCATGTCCCCTCCAGTCTTCAAACGATTCAGATGCGAGAGGAAGAGAGAGAGGGGAGGTGGGGAGTAGAGGGAGGGCTGTTAGTCTTACCAGACATGGGTGACATCCACTAACACAAAGTGTTACTGGCATCTTCCTAGAGAGAAATAATCTGGCATGTTAGATGTACATGTGGTAATAAGATTTTAGAAAACATTAGCAGGGGTTGGCAAAAAAACAAACATGACATATCAGAGGATCCTTGCTAGCCACCAGGAAAGTCAAGGCCATTCAACCACAAAGCAGTCTTCAGAGCTCTACTATTTAGAATCTATTAACACAGGTCAATTATAAAGACAGTAGATAATCGACCCATTAAAAACTCCCAAGCCCCATGAAAGTGAGCTGCCTCTCAAACAGGCCCATTCATACTAAGTGTGTTATGGGCATCATCCCTGTCTCCTCCTGCCATAGAGTGACCTGTCCGTCTCACCTGTGTATCAGCTCCAGTCTCTACTCTAGAATGGTGTAGCAAACAAAAAACATCCAGTCAGCGGCAGTCTTTTGGGCGAAAATAGCTCGTTGATGAGAGGTCGAAGGAGAATGGCAAGAATTCTGCGAGCTAACAGGCGGGCCACAAACAGGCAAATAACAGCGCAGTACAACAGTGGTGTGCAGAACGGCATCTCGGAACGCACAACTCGTCGGTCCTTGCCACGGATGGGCTATTGCAGCAGACGACCACACCGGGTTCCACTCCTATCAGCTAAAAACAAGAAGAAGCGTCTCCAGTGGGCACGCGATCACCAACACTGGACAATTGAGGAGTGGAAAAACGTTGCCTGGTCCGACGAATCCCAGTTCCTGTTGCGTCATGCTGATGGCAGAGTCAGGATTTGGCTTAAGCAGCATGGGACCATGGTACCATCCTACCTGGTGTCAACGGTACAGGCTGGTGGCGGTGGTGTACTGGTGTGGGGAATGTTTTCCTGGCACACGTTAGGTCCCTTGATACCAATTCAGCAACGTTTCCATGCCCCGAAGAATTCAGGCTGTTCTGGAGGCAAAGGGGGGTCCGACCCGGTACTAGATGGGTGTACCATTTAAAATACACTTTTATACAAAGCAACTTACAGTAGTGCTTGCATACATTTTTGTATGGGGGGCACCAGTGGGAACCAAACCCACGATCCTGCCATTGATTGCAAGCACCATGGTCTACCAACTGAGCCACACAGGCCCTACACATTACAACACTGCATCAACTCTTTTAGACATATGGGAGAAGTCGAAAGGATCACCATGTTGAGTTATGGATCCAGGATCAAACTTGTGTTTCTCATAATATTCTACAGAATATTTTTCCCATTGAGGCAGTAGTCAGTCACTCACTTCTTGTCTGGCTTCATGCCTCCCCCTCCCCTGATGGCCACGGTCTGGCTGTTCTGGTAGAAACCCCCTCCGCTGCGGTTCACGTTGGGGTGGGTGGGAGACGCCACTGGAGGATGGCCAGGACGAATGGGTTTGGCTGTGGAGGGGGGCAGAGGAACACAACAGTTTAGGAACGGCATCCATTTCTATACTGAATAACGTTTGTGTTCAAAGTTCAAGGATCAAGTTTATTTTGCCATTTGTAGGTATTGGAATACATTCTTGCTATGTGTTTTGTATGAACTGAAAAACAAAAAAATAAGTCATACAAAAGACAGTCAATGTAAAAGCAGTACACAAAAATATAGGCTAGAGGAACTGTTTAGGAATGGCATCCATTAACATACTGCACATCCAACCATACATTAACCACCAGGATTACAGCATGCAGTGTGTGTGTCTTCCCTCTCTCCTCACCGATCTGAGCGGAGTGGCCCCTCCTGGCCATGTTCTTGGCCCTGACGGCATCTTTGATGCGGTCCACCTCCTGTTGGTAGCGTTTGCGGTCGCGTGCGGCGTTCTCTTTGGCCTCCTTCAGCGCCGACTCCAGGGCCTTGACCCGCTCAGCTGTAGCACGCAGACGCTTCTCCAGTTTAGGAAGCTCACAGCGCAGGTCTGCATTATCACGGACCAGCTGAGAGAAAGTGAGGAGAAAAGTTTGGCAAATTAGCCATCTCCAAAAGCACTAGAGTTGGTCTGATTTCAGTGTGTTTGGGTCTTTTTGTTGGTTTCATAGTTGAGAACATACCTGTTTGTGAACCTTGGTAAGCTGCTCCAGGTTGTTCTCCAGAAAGGAGATCTTCTGTTTCTGAGCTGCGCTGCCTCCTGTGTCATCCGAGTCCATCTCGGCACTCTTCTTCACTCTGGTAGCCAGGTCCTGGACAAAGAGCTTCCTCAGGTTGTGCAGAGTCTGGAGCTCCTTGGTCTGGCGGAGTTGGGGAAGCGATAAGAGAGGTTAAAGGTGAATCGAAACACTCACCTAAATTACCCTTATTTTTTGCAATTATTATTCATAGAAAGGCATAAAGATTCATGAAAAGAAAGAAGTTTGACTACAAAGGTTTATTAAAATGTACCTTTTAACTGCCCTTTAAGGGGAAAGCCGAAGAGCTGTTGTTATCTGTAGTCTACTCACCACTGTCTCCTCCAATCCCTTCAGGTCTTGTCTGGCCTGCTCTCTCCGGTCCTGCATCACCCTGCACAGCACAACACACACAGACGCATTAGCCACAGCTTGACTGCAGTAACATTGGACAAGTATAGTGCTAATCTAAGCTAACCAGCAGTGATAGCTTCTATAATGAGCATGTTATGTGGGCACTAGTGAACAACATCATTGGTATATATGCCACACAGTATTTAGCGATCACATATTCTGAACATGCCCACTATCTGTAGGTGTATGTAGCGTACGTTAGCTCGTGAAGTTTGCGGCTCTTCTCTTGGTCGGTAGACTTGAGTTTCTCGTGTTCCACCCTGAGACGCTCCTGTTCCAGCATGATCTTCTGGTTCAGACTGGAACAAATCAAATCAAATTGTATTTGTCACATGCGCCGAATACAACAGGTGTACACCTTACCGTGAAATGCTTACTTAGAAGCCCTTAACCAAAAATGCAGAGTAAAATAACATTTGCTAAATAAACTAAAGTTTAAAAAAGTAACACAATAAAATAACAATAGCGAGGCTATATACAGGGGGTACCGGTACCGAGTCAATGTGCGGGTGTACGGGTTAGTCGAGGTAATTGAGGTCATATGTACATGTAGGTAGGGGTAAAGTGACTATGCATAGATAATAAACAGTGAGTAGCAGCGGTGTAAAAAGGGGGTCAATGCAAATAGTCCAGGTAGCCATTTTATAGCTTGGGGGTAGAAGCTGTTAAGGAGCCTTTTGGACCTAGACTTGGCGCTCCGGTACCGCTTGCTGTGCGGTAGCAGAGAGCACAGCCTATGACTTTGGTGGTTGGAGTCTTTGACCATTTTTAGGGCCTTCCTCTGACACCACCTGGTATAGAGGACCTGGATGGCAGGAAGCTTGGCCCCAGTTATGTAACACAACAACACCACCTTAGCACTGGAGACAGGAGACATTGTAGTTGCCTCAAAAGGCGTATGGGACGTAACCACAGTAAACAGTGGACAGCGTGTGCGTGGGGTTGCGTTTAGTCTCTTACTCCTGCAGTTCTGTGATGAGGTGCGCCTTCTTGTCCAGCTCATCTCTGAGGCTGCTGATCTGTTTCTGATGGGCCTCGCGGTGACCAGCGATCTGTTTCTCCACAGCCTCCTGGGGGTGACACAGAGGTCACGGGACACCAATCAACATCCGTAACATGTCATCATAGTAGGCAGTCGGACAAGTGGACTAGATTGGACAAGTAGGGACTAGTCAACTTTATCATCTGGAATATATCATGACTTCTGGGCTGCGTCCCAACTGGCACCCTATTCCATATGTAGTGCACTACCTTTAACCAGAGCCTGGTCAAAAGTAACAGACTAAACTGCTACTTAAGGAAGTTTATGACTCCACCAACGGCGTGGAGCCGAGACCAGGTTTATGTGGAATCTATCTCCGACTAAGTCAATTCGCCCAAGGTCAATACTTCAACAACAACAAAAAATTATGAAGCCTGGTCTCGGCTCCTCGCCATTGGTGAAGTACATCAGAAACTTCCTTCACCATGGAGTGGAGTTTAGTCCGCTAGGTCAAAAGTAGTGCACTATATAAGGTATAGGGTGCCATTTGGGTCGCAACACTGATCTGAAATGTAATTTGGAGTAATAAGCAGCCCTATGGTATGGACAAGACATCCTACCTTGACTTCATTGGCAGATTGGATCTCGTTCTCCTTCTCCATGGCGGTGACTTTCTCTGCAAAAGGGAAACATTTGACATTTGTCACTAGGTGGCACTATAGGCCTTACATCTGTTTTAGAGATGTTTTTAAGGAATGTAGTCCAATATGTGTTATCAGTGCATAGAGAGCAGCTGTGTGTGCAATAGCTGTAGCAGTGTGTGTGTGTGTTGTACCCTGGGCACTGATCTTCACTAGTTCTTCGCTCAGAGAGTCAACGTTCTCCTCCAGCTGTCTCTTCTTCTGCTCCACGTTCTGGAGGTACTCTGTCAGGGACTTGATCTTAGCCTCGTGCTGCATGGGGGGAGAGAGATGGAGACTGTTATTTACACAAGGGGGTTATGTGGATTACACATCTAGTGATTCTTTAGCAGGTCTCAGTTTGATGACTGTGTTCATGGGAGGAACAGGAGAGAGTAAGCCTGGTCCCAGATCTGTTTGTGCTTTGCCTTCTCCATTGTCATTGTCAAGCCAAACATCAGTGGAAGATTAGGTTGGTGAGAGTGATTATGGTATGGTGGCCAGGGTTGGGGCCAATTCCATTTCAATTCAGTCAATTCAGGAAGGGAATTGCGTTAGAATTGGACTTTCAGTTTACTTCCTGAATAGACTGAATTTAAATGGAATTGACCGCAACCCTGATAGTGGCAGATTGAGGCTGTTGTGGAGTGTGTGGATCTAGAACTATGATGAGAGAAGCTGGCTAATACGCATAGAGATCCTTTAATAATGCACTTTCTAAATGTAATGATATGGTAATACCTGTTGGATCCTTAGCTGACAGGCGGCCAGCTCCTGGTCATTCTCGTCCATCTTCCTGTTGCTCTCTGACTGGGTGCTCTCCAGCTGCTTACAGCGTTTCACCATGGTCCTCACCTCAGACTTCATCTTACTGATGTACAAACGAGCCACCGTAAAGTCCTCATCTATCAGACCACTGCCGTCGTGTTGCTAGGGGTGAGGGAGGTGATTGAGAGAGAGAGACAGAGAGAACAGAGAGAGAGAGAAAGGAGTCGGAGTAGTGTTCTCGTTTTATTCAGGTTTAGGAGAAAATGATTTTAAACATTTCGTTTAGTTGGCAATAAAATAATACCCATCTTTGGAGTGTCATGTGGTGATGTGTCATGTCCTTTTACCTTGATCTCGGTGCTGCCCACGGCGATGCCAATCTCTGCCAGGTCTTTCAGTAGTGATGACATCATCTCAGAGACCCTCTTCTTCTGGTGGTTGCTCATGTCCTTCAGTTTCTGCAGCTCAGAGTCAATGGACGTCAGGACGCTCTGGAGAGAGAAAGAGAAAAACATTTTAACATAAATATTTCCTAAATATTAGGGACAAAAAAGGGCTATGACTGACTTGTATAAAATATTTTGAGAATATATTGAAGCAACCAGGAAAAAATTACATGCAGGTCCTAGAAAGCATGACAATGAATAGGACACATATAGCTATCTTCATGAGCAGGGACAGTGGGTGACATTGTCTCACCGATTTCTGATTGAGCTCGTCGCTGAGCATCTCAAACTCCTTGGTCTTGTCCTCCACCTCCTGGCTCTTCTGGTCATAGTTAACAGCCAGCTCCTCCAATGCCTGCAGAACCTCCTTCACCTCATCCTTGGAAGCTTCGTTCTCAGCCTGCAGGCGGTTCAGCTCCGACTGCAGGTTATCATGGTCGCGCCGCGACGACACCAGCAGCTACAAATACAAACATGTTTTGAACCCATTCTATGATTCAATATGTAGTGCACTACTTTTGACCAGGGCCGACATAACCTTGACACCCTTGACAGGCCATAGGGCTCTGGTTAAAAGTACTGCACTATATAGGGAATAGGGTGCCATTTGGGAAACAGACAAACTCACCTCCTCCTGGTCCAACATCTGCTGCTTGAGCTTCTCAGCTAGCTGGCTCTGCTGGTTGATCTCATCATCCTGGACACACAGAGAGAGGACATGGTTAGCATCACAATAATTTAAAACAGGGCTCAAACTGTATGTTGAAACGATCAAGTTTGTCTACATTTTCGCCTCCCTTTGAGCATTGTCTAACTTCAAAATGAGGTGGTTAACACTGAGTCCATGGCTGTGTTTGAGAGAATCTGCTGCACATAAACCTCAGAGCCTGCTCTCTGCACAGTACCCTCTCTGAATTCAACCATTGACTGTTCCACACTGTGGTCTCTATGACACTCAGCTCCTTTCCTTCAACTTCTTGGCTGTTCTCTGTTCCTACAGGACTGGAGGTTCTGTGGCCGGTTTCACCACTGAGTTGAATCGAGGATGCAATCGGCCCATAATGGAGATAGCCGTCAATGGCCCTGCCCATGCTGTCACAGAAGCGGTCATTGCAAAGATGAAAGATTAGCTTAGACACACACACGCTCTGTGGCAGGTCTCTCTCACCTTATCGTCCAGCTGCTTGTAGAGCTTGGCCAGCTCCACCTCACACTTGTCCTTCTCTGCGTCAGTCAGACGGAGCTGGGGCATGTTGGGGGTGGAGGCAGGCTTGTCGTTGGGCACATTGTCCAGGGCCAGCACCTCAGCTTGGGCCTTCTCCTTGTCAAACTGCTCGTCCACCGGCACACTCTCACCTGCAGGGGGTAGCGTGGTCACACAGAAAGCTCAGACAGGAGTAGGATGAAGTTGCTTCTAGAAGCTGATCTTCGATCCGTTTTGCATTTTCCTCACTAATGGTTAAGGTTAGGATTGGTGGAGGGAAAGCTGATCCTAGATCTGTACCTAGGGGAAACTTTACCCCAGAGAGGTCAGACAGACACCCTGCTAGGCCTTTACTGTACAGCGCAGACCTAGTAGAACAGCAGGTCTTGTTCATTAAGGCATACCGTAGCGATACTGTTCGCAACAGAGTGTTTTTCTTCCGGTTTGCACCCATTAAACACGACCCAGGTTTGCATGGTCAATGTTTGTGCGTGCGTGCGTACATGTGTACGTTTGGTGTCGTGTTAGGGAGGGGGGATATTTGAATAATCTATGATGAATGGATTTGTTGATGAAGCTAGGGGGGGGAAGTGGAGTCTTTCCACTCAGAGCAAATGGTTTCCAGTGAAGTGATGAGATAGGCCCAAACCAGGGCTGCGACCCAAATGCACTACTTTTGACCAGAGCCCTATGGCCTGTCAAGGGTGTCAAGGTTATGTCGGCCCTGGTCAAAAGTAGTGCACTACATAGGTAATAGGATGCCATATGGCACTCAGCCCAGGTGAATGTCCTCTCCTCCTCACCGTTCCTCCAGCGGTTGAGCTCATTCTCCAGCCAGGTGATGGTGTTCCTCAGGGCCTTTCCCTTCTCCTTCTCCCTCTCATACTTCTTCTTCCACTGTTCTGCCGTCAGCTCCACGTTCACACACACCGTGTTCTTAATGGTCTTCGCTCTGGAAACATCACAAACAGGACCAAAGCATTACACCCTAATCTAATCCAGCCGCCCTGAATAGCTCACAAAATAGTGATTGTGGCAACTCATCGCGAATTGTTTATGTATTTTTTTCATATGATGTAAAACTCATCACCACACGTTTTGCTCTGTACTGAAAGTGCTCCATCTTGAAAATCTGACTGCTGACATGCACACTTTTTGGGGGATTGTATCAACAGTGGACTACTGAAAATATCGTTTTTGAGTGAACTATCCTTTTAAGAGCTAGTGAGTGAGCCCACCTCTGTCCAAACATGAGGGTGGACTTGGTCTCCGACTCGTTGTAGGCGGAGGGGGAGGCGCAGATGACGATGGTGGTCCTGCAGTTCCCCCCCAAAGAATCCTGAAGGATTCTGGTCATTTTACTGTCTCTGTACGGGATATAGCCCTGAAACAAAGCAGACCAAACAAACAAAGAAAATTCATTAAGAGAAACAACAATACAATTGCCTCCAGGTTGTTCAATTCTGAACAAAGAAACTAAACAAACCAATCTATGATTAAAATAAAAGGTGTAGAATTATACAACTTTGAATCAGCTTGAACCAAAACCTTGCCTTGAGGTACATGTATTTTGATCTCTTCAAGAATTGAGAATACTGTTGATGTGAGGTATTGGTCTTTAGTGAGTCTATGCGTCTTAGCACTGAATGAACACCAAACAAACTGCCAGTCATAATATCAGTCATAGTAGAGAAGTACTCACAGAGCCTTCAGCCAGTGCTGAAATGACATTGCCCAGTGATGACAGAGACTTGTTGATGTTCTTGGCCTCGTCCAACACGGCACCCTCTGCTCCTGTCTTGCTGACCTGGGAGGAAAGAGACAAACAGGGACCTTCTGGTAAGATGGAGGACTTGAACAGTAACACTTGCTTTGCAACAGAGTCCTTAACATTGCCTAACAATGACATTGCCTAACAATGTTTATCAGTCCTGATAATACCAAGATTAGGCAACTGGCAAAAATGGGGCAAAAATTAGGCTCACAAGATTAGGCAACTGGGAAAAGACAGATGGGCTATGTGCATTTGCACAGAAACGGAAATCTATTTTCCATTTCTACCATGCTGCAGAGAGGACTAAGTGTGAGAGAGTGCAGAAGAGAGAGAGAGAGACCGCTCTTGCCAGTACACCTTCATTAAGATGACGTATCGTTATCTGCCTCAGAGCTCATCAGAACGGGAAAGAGCAGTGTGCAGGGTCCTCTTTTCTTTTCTAATATGATTGTTTTATTCCCACGCACCTGCAACACGTTAACTCCGATGTGCAAGGGCTTTTCCTACCTTTTCACTTCCAGCCAGGTCGACGAGGTGGAGCTTGCCGCTGAGTTTCTGCTCTGTAGCAGTGTTCTCCTGCTTCACGTTGATCTGGAAGATACTGTGACTTCTGGAGCTGTGCTCATTCATATCTACAGCAAGACAACACATCTGGGATCAGCGCTGATCAAGCAGTTATATTAGTACACAAATAGACACAGGTTGCATCTCAAATGGCACCCCATTCCCTACATAGACCAGAGCCTACATAGACCAGAGCCCTCAAAAGTAGTGCACTATAAAGGGAATGAATATACACTCCAGACAGAGTGTATAATCATGTAGTCTGTGGCGCACTGGTTCTTATTATATACAGTAGATTGGTTCGATTTGATGGATGAGTCGGTTTCGGTAACCAGAGCTCTGACATGCGTGAGAATAGCCTGGATGCTAAATCTGTTTGTGTTCTCTTGCCAACTCCTTATGGAATAGTCATGCCATGTTTTGCGTGACAAGGAGTCAGTAAGAGAGCAGAAACAGATCTGGGACCAGGCTAGCATGAGAAAACATTGAGCACATTAAACCATTTCTTTTTTTTAGGGGGTAGATCAGCTTTAATATTGCAGATAGATTGTAACTTCCATCAATGTAATTGTCTGCGTCACTTCCAATCCTCCAAAGTAGTGCACTATAAAAGGAATAGGGTGCCATTTGGGATGCAAAATTGGTGCGGTCTCTTACTTGTAACTGCTACGTGTCTGTTAGATTTGCCTTCGTCGATGGTGTCCATGACTTCCTCTGGGCTGCAGACAAATCTCTCAGTGCATCCCTGTGGACAAGAAAAACCTATGATGTGACACAGGACCATCTTATACATTCTAAATATAATAATAATAATAATAGCCATTTCAACAGGTGCTTTTATTCAGAGCGAAATGCACTAGTGTGTGCATACATATCTTCAGAGAATGTGTATTTTCATAGGGAATAGCTACATTAGCAAGGTCAGATGACACCATGTTTTTTGATCTTAGGTGGCTGCAGTCTAACTCTGTGACAGTTTACTGGGTGTTAGTTAGTTCATCCCTGGATTGGAAGACTCACCTTGACATAGGGAACTCTGTTTTTGTCTTCATGCACTGACAGGTTTGTCTTTGACACTGGAGAAGAGAGAAGGAAACATACAGCATGGTCAAGACTCTAGAATATTCTGGCTAGTTCTGTCTCCACAGCAGAAAGCCTGTCTTCTGCTTACAAATCGAGATTTAATTAGCCCAGTGGTCTCCAACAGGTCGATCGCAAGCTACCAGTAGCTCGTAGCCCATCTATGAGTAGCTCGCCAAACAATTCTGAAAGTATATGCAATTTTCACGTGTTCTACCGCAAACTATCATAAACAAATCGAAGAAGTATCAGATACCGCAAGCTCCCAGCTACTACCTAAAGAATGCAACATTGACATTATCCCACCCCTGGTTAACCACAATTAGCTTAAAAAGCCAAACCTAACACAATATATGCCAATTAATTTCCAGCAATATTGCCCGTCTGTCTGTGTGGTGCGAGCGTTTGCCTGTCACTCCGTGTGTAGCCAGTTGATGTGATAACCATCTTGTGTGTTGACAGAAATACTTTCCCCAAAACCTTCTCAATTAAATGTTAACTGCAAAGTAGGTTTACCTGGCAGTAAGTATATCATTTGTATCTGTTATTTGCAAACTTTGCTATGAAATTAGCAGCAGTGTCACTAGACCGGCACATTAGACGTGCCTTTCCTCACTCGCTAGATGTGCAATTAAAGGGGAATTACACAAAAAAATCTAAATGTGTGAGTGTTCTTCCAGACCTTTAAAATAAAATGGTATTCAAATGTGATGTAAGAATTGACATGGACTCAGAACATCCAATTTCGTTGCTTCTCTATGAACAATTGACATTATGAGTGAAAAAAATAATAATCTGAAAAGTGAGAATACAATTTTGAAAAATATAATAAATAATTTGGGTGAAAAAAATAGTTGTTTATTAACCATTATTTTACTAGGTATATTGACAGAAAACATAGTGCACTACTTTCTCTTGTACACTAAGGACCCAGGGAAGAGTTGCAGGGGAGAGGAGAAGAACGTGCCTATTTGAAAGCTAAAAAAAAAAAAGTTTAATTTTTAAAAAAGGAGCTCTCATGTTAGAAAAGGTTGGAGACCCCTGAATTAGCCATTTAAGTATCATTGACAGCATTTACACAGGCAAACTAATTCTGACTTGTTTCCACTAATTGATCTTTTGACCAATCAGATCAGCTCTTTTGCCAATAACTGGGGAAAAGTTCAGAATTGGGCTGCCTGTATAAACGAAGCCATAGCGTGTGTGAAGAAACCTCATGCTCAAACTGGGTGAGGAGAATTTACGTAATAGCAGATACAGCTACAGCATGTTTACGTAGCAATATGCAGACATTCTTTATTTTCAGTCAACATTTTCATTACAATATCAGTAACATTTCCACCCTTTTCCTGTTTCAACATGCAACATTTCATTAATCAGATCTGCTCTATGTAGCCTTTTAACAGATCGTTATGTAAACTAGCCAATTATCCACACTACTGTAGCATGGCCACGAGCCAAAAGGAGAGGCACGCTACACATTGTGTGTTCCAAATGGCACCCCATTCCCTATGTAGTACACAACTTTTGGTCAAAATTAGGGAATAGGGTGCTATTGGGACAGTGTGTGTTCACTCTGCCTGGGACATACCATCCAAGAGGTCCCGAATCTTGTCCAAGTAAATTTCAAAATATGAAACCTGGAAGAGAAGAGTCATCTCTTATTAGCTGGGATCCCACAGAGAGAAATCAATAGGTTTTAAAAACCTGCTAAGTGAAGTGATTCTACTGAGTGTCTTTGAACTAGCTATGGCAAGTCAAGGTTAGCAAGCTGCCTATGGAGAGTAGGAAGAGTTGTTCTAATTGGACAGAACAAATCTGCATCCCAAATGGCACCCTATTCCATACATAATGCACTACTTTTTACCAGAAACTATGGGCCCTGTCAAAAGTAGTGCACTATATAGGGAATAGGGTGCAATTTAGGACGCAAACAGGGGGATGTATTTGTAGAGTACTAACCAGTACCTACCTTGATATGGAACTCCAGGTTCTCGTCCATGGAGTAGATGTAATTAAAGATGTCCTGCACTATCCTGGGGATGATCCCCATTCCATCTGTGTCATGGAGGTTACCCTCCATCGTGTGTGTTTTGCCGGAAGACGTCTGTCCGTATGCAAATATTGTCCCATTGTACCCCTCCAGAACATCTGTAAGAAGAAGACTACTTTATTAATTCATACGAGACAGAAATGTGTCTTCTGTACTCAACCCCTCTCACAGAAATACACACAAAGAAACCAAATAGACAGCCTGATCATAAGGAAGTAGTCACTGCAAAGTTACTCCTCTTTCAGACCGGCTTTCTCCTCAGGTTTGTGCATGGACACATTAAGAAAACATCTACAGTAGGGACAGTGTTCATAAACAATGAATGAGGAGAGCTCACCTTTGACAATCTTCTGGGCGCAGGCGTTATATACTTGCTCCTGTGTCGTATTCGGCTGGAACACTCTGTCAAACTGGAACGGTTTGCTCTGCGAGACAGAAAGAGACAGAGAGAGAGAGAGAGAGAGAGAGAGAGAGAGAGAGAGAGAGAGAGAGAGAGAGAGAGAGAGAGAGAGAGAGAGAGAGAGAGAGAGAGAGAGAGAGAGAGAGAGAGAGAGAGAGAGAGAGAGAGAGAGAGGTTAGATAATGAGTTTAACAACTTTTCTGTCTGACATTCAATTTAAACACAGCTTTAAAATCAAGATGAAACAAACAGTGTGCCACAGTAAGGGGCTATACCATGCAAAGTAGCAATCAAAAGGTATCAAACTGCTCTCACATGCACACACAAGATACACAGCTCTCTTCGACAGAAACAGCTAATTATAACCACCAATAAATACAACACCCCACCACACTGTTAAAACCACACCATGATCACCTCCACACACACACACACACACCCAATAAACCCCTGGTGAGCCTCCCCAGCATGTTAACCCAAGCTACGTCCCAAAAAGCACCCTATTACCTATATATACAGTAGTAATCTCGGTTAACCCAGAACTAAAATCATGCGTAATTTGGTCAGATCATTTATGTTTACGTAGTCTGTCCACAAGAGATAACCTATATAGTGCACTACTTTAGACCAGAGCTGGTCAAAGTAGTGTAATATATATGTTATAGGGTGCCATTTGGGATGCTTCCGCAGTATAGTGCTGTGGCTCTCGTCTCCCCACTGCGCCAGCTCTGAGCTTCAGCTCTGCAGCTCTGGCCTAATGAGCTAGGTAGCCTACATCCCATATGGCACCCTATTCCCTATATAGTGCTCTGGTAAAAAGTAGTGCACTATGTAGGGAATAAGGTGCTATTTTGGAGGAGAACTGTGCAGAGGGAGAAATCAAAGCACATACCATTCTAATGAGATGGCAATAATGGACATAAGAATAAAGTGAATAAGTCAACCACAGAGGGTATTAAACTGATGTTATAGGCACTTTAGCGGTTCAGCATGAAAAACTGTATAAAGTGACTCAGAGTAGGAGTCCCAGTTCTGTCTGTTTAAAAACCTTCCTCTCTCCCCCTCCCAATCTACCAGATGGATATGACACAGCCACCTCGGACTAGACCATTGGCCTGATCTGGCCGCAGACCAGATCGTCTCAGTGGGATACCAGCAGTAATTATCAGGCTGAATGAAAACACCTAAATTGACTACAAAGTGTAAATAGGATAATTTTGGTCATAAAGCCAGTCCAAAACGGAGTTTTGTAAGTGAGTTCGTCACGACTTACTGGAGGGTTGGGTATGGATTACTTACATGCCCACTTTTGTCAATGATGCCCAATTGCCCAGCTGCCATGTGGACATTTGTAGTCAAGTCTGCATATGATATGGTCCAACGCGTGCACATTTCGCTTGGCTAATAGGAGTGAAAATGGGCTTCCATAAAGTTGGTGCAAACTTCCAATGCATTTCAACAATATTGCCAGATGGCCAGGAATGGATTACATCCGACGCGGTCACTTCTGCTGCCTGTCAACCGTCAAACCACTGGTGTTGGTTAGTACGTTAGCTAAGTAGATTGCTGGTCCTAGCTAACTAGTAGCTACTGTTGGTTATACAACATGATTTGATCATGCCAGCGAGCCAGGCTAGTTTATGATACCACAGATGAATCGGGGAATGATACTCTAGCTAGTTAAATCTATCAAACTAACGTGTAATGTGATGTAGCATGTCAGAGGAAGATGTGCATAGCTCACGTTAGGTAGCTACCTTGCTAACAACAGCTAACTGTAGCCCATTGGCATTTAGGGTCAATACAGGGCAGGCACTTGGATACTAGCTTGCTAGCTAATAATAGGATGTAGCCAGCTTTCTTTCAATAATGTTTAAACTCAAACTGGCTAGCTAACAATAGCAATCTAGTCAATTCATTTAAACTCGGACAAAGATATAACTAACCCGGATTTTCAAGTTAGGTAGCTAGCAAGTTAGCATTCAGGGTTTTCATCTGCTAACCCCAAACAACATGCCTGTTCTCATCAAAGTTTGAGTATTTTGTAGGGCAAAAATAAATGGATGGTAGCAAAAATAAATGGATGGTCTACTACAAATTTAGCTCTGACAGCAAATAACAAAATGTATCAGCAAGCATTCAGCAACGTACACAGCTGGTTGCATACTAACGGCGTCAGCGTCATCTATTCTGCAACTTTACAGTCACTTTATTAGGATATAAATTACTTCCAAAGTAGAGAAAGTTATTTTTCTCGCTATATGTATATTGAGTGAAGATATTTTATTTCATTCACAGGCTACATAACAAACCGGTCCCGCTTCAGAGTAATGGAGGACACATGAATCAGGTTGGCCGCATTTGATCTGGTCAATGGTCAAAATACTATCTGTCCTGGAATTCACCTTACCACCACATACAATGTAATCAGTGCTGTGTGTATATGTGTGTCTTGTATGGTCATCAACTCTTCCTCATTTTTCTACAGATGGGCAGAAGAGATGCTTTTGAAATGGAGTCCTCTGACTGAAAGACAGGTTGATACTGAGACCTTGCACTCAGCATTACAATTATATAAGAAATTGATTACATGTTGTTGTCTCTTGTTATTATTGAATCGAATGGTACTATCAGTGGGTGGGGACCCTGTGTACTCTTCAAACATATCAGGGAACTCCTGTTTTATACGGGACAGGAAGGTATAATACTTGCACATTGTTATATTTAGCAGAACACTTCTACAGTATTATGTGAACTATAGTGTATTCAACATGGAACTGTTACACTTGAAAGTTATCAAAACACTTTTATAACTGTTTATAATATCTACATAAGTTCAGCAATTGCAAACTTCCCGTATTACTCTATAGGCTACTGACCGATGCAAAGCTTCCTCCTTAGATTTGGCCAAATAGAATGCATTCTAGTTCTGGTTAGACAGCTGAAGTTGTAGTCTATACACAACTTATTTTTATTTGCTAGGTAAGTGTAGACATACTGTCTTTATAAGCACATCAATATGATATTTACAGCATAAAATGTTTTTTTCTTTGTAACACGAACACACGCTTGGGTATTTAGTTGATAAATGTATCTACACTCAAACTGGGCGATGTCTGTGCTATGTCCACATGTAGCCTACACCTGTTGTAGGGATAAAAGTAGTTTGGATTATTTTGTTGTGGGGGGGCGCTAGTGAGCAAGCCATGGAGTAGGTCATGTTTTCCGAGCTCCTGCTGAAATTGCATTTACTTAATACTTTCTTTGCGCTTTGACCCAAAAAGAACTAGGAAACACAGCCTTTGAATGACGTGCTTTACTTTGTTCAACTTTTATTTTTGTTTTAATGAGTAAATGGTGCATTATACCTGCAAAAGTTTAAGTTCAGCGGAGTCACTGACAAAAGAGAAAACACTAGGCCCAAGACGAGGTACTCGAGTTCTTCAACAAGTGGGAGCAGCGGCTCCTTTACACGGCTCGGCAAAAAAAATTACACTGAGGATTTGAAGGCCGAGATTCTTGCTGCCCTCAGAGCGGACATTTAATCTATAGTCGGAACTCAAGGACGCGCTCAAGGAGGCGCTCAGTGAAGACTTTAATTTTATTAAGTTGGAGTTACAAGAAGTCAAGAATAAACTCGCAAAGCATACAGCAATGGCTCGTACCGAACTGGATACAGTTAAGAAAACTGTCTCCGACATGGAACCAGGCTTGTCAACATGCTCGGACGATTCGACTACGCTACAAACCATGGTTAAGAAGCTCTAAACAGATGTGGCTAGCCTTAAGGAACAATGCATACATTTACAAGGACATATGTGAAGATCCAATAATCAGGATCATGGGGGTGGCTGAGGACCCGGGCTCAAGTTCTACGTCATCGGTCTCAAAGTCATTGAAGGAAGCCCTCAAAATGGATAAAGATGTCCTTGTAGACCACTCACATAGGGGCTCTCAAGCAAGAAAGCCTGGCGGAAAACCTTGCATCATTGTGGCTAAACTACACTACTATCAGGATTGTATTGATGTTCTTCGGCGTGCCAGAGAATTTGGGCCCTCTTCGATGCAATGGAGCACCCATCTCGATCTTCCCAGACTATGCCCCCAGCGTTGCTCGTGACCGTGTCGCTTTCAACGATGTCAAGAGTCTGCTCCGTGGACGGACCGACATTCGGTATGGTGTGGCTTTCCTGCCTGGCTCCGTTTAACACACAACGGCACCGAGAAGGAGTACCAAGACCCCCATAAGGCGATGGCCTTCGTAAAGGTGAACATTCTACCTAGGTCGGACGAAGCAAATGGCTGAATGTTCACCTATTTGGCAAATGTGTTTACCACTGCAGACTCAGTCTTTCTTTTGTAGATACTGTATAGCGTTGCCAGTGGTATCAGTTGATATTGTTATTATTAGGTAAGTTAACGTTAGTGAACGTTGCTGGTACCATCGGCTGATGTTATTATTAGGTAACGTTAGTGCCTTAGTTCTGGTGAGTCAATTCTCCTTTTGTTTTAACATTTTAGTTTATTAACATGAAGCTGCTCATTTCTATTTCTCAATGGTACCTGTATCCATGGTAGATAAAGCACAGTTCTATTATTAGACTTTACAATGTAATTTCTTTAATGACGTTGCTGCTAGTGGTATTGCTGTAAGATGTGATTTAAACAAATGTTTTATACTTTCTTTTAAAACAGCCTAGTTTTGGGTTGTAAACAAGTATTTCTTATTCATTTATTATGCACAAGTTGTTTTAAATCCTTCACTATTTCAGCAGGGACTCTCTACTATTTAGGTTTAGTGTTCCCCACTACAAGCACATCATGTGTGGATATCTTTGTGTGGGGATTAGCGGTGACCTTGTTCCATTAGGTGACCAGGGTGGGTTTTCTTTTTCATACCAAGACTTTGTTGTTTATGTTCTTTATTATTCTTCAACTTTTAGGTTTTTTATTTGCTATTTCGGGAAAAACGTTTAATGGATCAGTTGTTATTGTAATCTGGCATCTATCCTTTTCCCACCTGACTTTACATGGCTAGGCCTGATATCATGAGAGGGACAGCTGGTTGCTCGGTGACTTTTGCTAGCTGGAATGTTAAATCTTTAAAATCACCCAGTGAAACGTAGAAGGGTTCTTTCTCATTTAAAATCACCTTAAAAGTAGATATCGCCTTTCTTCAGGAGACACATCTCCGCACTTTTGACCACTCTCGTTTAAAAGGAGGGTGGATCGGTCAATCACATAACATATACAATTTTCATTCTAAAACTAGAGGAGCAGCCATTTTAATTAGTAAAAACATACCATTCGCAATGTCAATTGTAGAGGCAGACTCAGCAGGCCATTTAATTATTGTTGTAGGCAGATTGTATAATACACCTGTTATCTTGGCTAACATTTATGCACCAAACTGGGATAACAGTTCATTCTTCACCAATTTATTTTCTCGATTACGAAGTATGGACACACACTACCTATACTAGGTGGTGATATGAATTGTGTACTGTCGCCCAAATCTGGATCGTAGCTCTCCTAAGGTATCATCTTCATCAAAGACAGTATCCACAATTCAGCTATTTCTTAAGACATATCTGATGCGTGGCGTTTCCGCAATCCCACAGCTAGGGAGTATTATTTTTTCCTCGCCAGTTCATACGACCTTCTCACATATAGACTACTTTTTCCTAGACAATAGATTTCTGCCAATTATCACGGAGTGCGATTACCAAGCTATAGTCATTTCGGATCATTCTCCTCTTACTATGAAACTACTTACACCAAATATACAGCCTAATATCTCAAGCTTATTCAAACCCCTGGAATGTCTCCTACAACAGTTGGGAATCAATGAAGGCTTATCTAAAAGGCACAATTATTTCGTACAGCGCAAGATTAAGGAAGTGCATTATTCAATGCCTAGGGGAACTTACAAATAATATGGCATATTCACATTCTTCATCCGCAGATTTACCAAAACAACATTTGACACTTCAGACAGTTTGATCTTCTTTCAACTCGACAAGCTGAAAATCTAATTAATCAATCTCAATACAAAATTATGAACATGGAGAGAAAATCAGGGAAAAAGCTAGCACACCAGCTCCGTCAGAGAACCGCAAATCATACCGGAGTTAACTTACGAGCTGGGTAACAAATGTATTGATCATTTAGAGGTCAATTCATGCTTTCATAACTTTTACTCACAATTATACGCGTCGGAATCTGCTGGTAATGCTACCTTACATGACACCTTCTTTGAGAACTTAGATATTTCTACAGTTTAACCTGAGATAGCTGCTGAATTAGAAGAACAGTTCTCTGTATAAGAGATTGTGTTGGCA